GGGAAGGTGTGTAAGTGTTAGTCGTGTGGGGATGCCCCCTCACGGGGGCGTACGTGTCTTTTGGTGTATTTGTCTGTCTGGTATATTGTTTGTCGGGGGTCGCAATTTTAAAGAAATGTATTCTAAAGTAATGCAAATAACTGATAAATAAGTAAAAACTTACCTGGGCATAACCCCGGCACAGGTGCTGTAACAAAGATGCCGACGGCGTCTATGCTTAAGCCGGGGATTAGGTCGGTGATTAAAAGGAAAGAAAGGGATTCTTTCCAGGTAGCCTTAATAAAGGCAGGTAGAATTTGCTCCTTGCACTACACTTTCACAAAACACGTGTGCTCTGGTCGGCTGCCCGCTAGGAACTGATGTAGTCTCCATGGTAATGCGTTATGATTATGAAATCATGAATAAAAGAAAAGAGCTATTTTATCGACGATATGTCATTTCTATCCTTTGTCACTTGGTACACTTCATAGTTTTGTAACTTTCTAACCTAACCTAATATTTTTACTTGAGTTCAAAATACGAAGTACGAACCTAAGCAATTATTCATTTCATTTTTTACCATGTCCGCTAATTAACTCAAAATAAAATATAAATAAAATGCTGGATTTAACATGTTTGAAACTAAATTATTTTGTTTACTCTTCCCGAGAATAACAAGAAAAATGTCCACTTCTTCCAATAGTAAGTACAGAATTTTACGCAAATAACTACAATGAACGTAATTTTCACTTTTTAAGACGTGATAATAGAAAAAATAGGACAAATAACCACAATAGGCATAAACCGGCCAGAGAGAAGAAACTGTGTCGATTTCAATACAGCGACACTGATAAAGGACGCAATACAAGGATTCGAAGAAGATGACACCTCCTGTGCAGCTGTCCTGTACGGTACTGGGGGCAACTTCTGCTCAGGCTTTGATTTAAATGAATTAGTTGATCTAGATAAAAATAAGGACTTGGAAAATGTGTTCAAAAATGGATTCATGGTTTGTTACCGTTTATTATATTTACAAAGTTGTATCGTTAATATCCCACAGGGTATTTCGTCAAAGTATGTGAAGAAACCGATGGTTGCGGCAATAAATGGCTACGCAGTTGCAGAGGGCTTAGAACTCGCTTTGATGTGCGATTTGAGGGTAATGGAGGAAACGGCTGTTGTTGGCTTCTATGGTAGAAGGTTTGGTAAGTCTAGATAGTTGCATTAATAAACTTCTTGTTTATTTTATTTTCTTCGAAGGTATACCCTTAACTGATGGAGCTGCTGTCCGATTACAAGCGATGGTTGGTCTTTCCAGAGCTTTAGACATGGTATTAACGGGTAGATCACTCAATGCCAAAGAAGCTTTCGATTGGGGAGTAGCCAACAGAATAGTCGCTTGTGGAACCGGTAAATTCATTCTTTAAAATTAAAAATTGTACTTATTTTTGATATTTTAGCATTGGGACAAGCAATTAACCTAGCCTCGTCCCTGATTAAATTTCCACAAGATTGCCTAATCGTTGACAGGGAGTCTACGTATAATGCTGCTTACAATAAAGCGTACGATGAACTTATGAGGTACGAACAGAAAAATAGTAAGAAAGTTCTGAGAGGGGTGATTGAAGGTGCGAAAAAATTCATCTCGGGCTTGGGCAGGCACGGTAAAACGTACAATTTGACGGAACGAAGCATATGCGAGTGGGAAAGAGAATTTAGCAAAGAAGCGACACCAAAAAGTAAACTGTAATTTCTAAGATATAAGTGTACAGTGATTTTAAGTAAAGTTATAGTATTTTTATTCCACAATTCCTTTTGCTCTTGATGGGCTGCCTTTCACAGTACGAGCGCTGTTTAGCCTATGTAGGTGTGTAGCAGATTCCTTGCTGCTTCTGGTGATGCTGGATTTACTCTGGAAAATACAAATAATTTTTTAATCGGAGATCTTTGTAATCTGCATTTTGCAAAAATCAAAAATTTTCTATCAAAAAGAATGAAAATTTAAATCGGAATTAAATTATTAATGAATCACCCTGTGTATATATACAGTATATCGACAGATTAAGTTGAAAAAAGGACAAGCCCGTATAGTTTTCATTTTAATTCATTCACTTTTGATGGGGCCATCCTTTTTCTCCTTTATTTGAAATTGAGACTTTTTCACATTTTAGCAGGAAATAACTTCTTGCAAAGCAATTATTCCGATATAAATGAATTTGATTTTTGTCATAGAGGCCCGGTTTTAAAATAAAAAGGAATGGAACCTTTTAGAAAAAAATTTTAGCATTTTTTTTATCTAATAGTTAATATTACATGTATTCCAATTTAGCATCCCTAGAAATCTCCTACCAGATTCAGTTTAGGAGCAAATTTTTTTTGTCGAGTCGGTAATAAAAATTTAGAAAAAGTACAAACAAAATAACTAAATAATTCTCTCAACTTTAATTTTCCAACTGTTTTTCTATGATTTTTTTTTTAAACACATTTTTCACCGTTCAACAAAATAATTGCGGTCTCTTTTAATGTTCTTTTAACAGTATTATATTCCTTTTCCAAAAATTTTGCCAAATTCCATTGAATTATATGACCGTTTTCCGAAATTCTCGTTTTTTTTAATGTAACCTTGTAATCATCTATTTTAATATTCACAGGTCGAGAAGTCTCTCCAACATACTGTTTATTGCATTCACAAGGTATGCTATAAATGCAATTTTTTGAATTTTCAAAGTAATTATTTGGGAGCGTCTTTGACAATAAAGTCTGTAAAATATTAGTTGTCTGAAAAACTTCTAATATTAAATTTTTTACCTATTTTTAAAATTTATTTAATTTCAAATAACTGAAATATACAGGTGGCTTCATGAAAAATGAATTACAGTGTATACAGGGCCATCATGTGAAAATGTTAGATCCGATTGTAGTTTCATTGTCTTTCAAGATATCGGGAAACGAAATACCTCAAACACTTTGAAATACTTGCAGAACAATTTGAATCTTTTAAAACAAATAATCAAATCAACCATCAAAGTAAAATGTGCCAAAAAACATCAAATTGGCTTCAGGAAGCAGTTAAATTAGATGAAAATGCCTTTAAAATATAACAAAATACATATATCAAAGTAAAAATTGTTCAGATCGGCTTTGAAATTAATCAAAACATCAGAATGTGACTCTTTTAAAAACTTTGAAAATATCTCCGAAACTATTCATTACGTTGAAAACTCGAAAATTTTGAAATATTTGTAAAAACTTTGGGATAAAGTATATCTAAATGTTTCAAAATTCTTCAAAAACATTTTCAATTAGATCAAAATACCTCTAGATCTTTCAAAACTTTTAAATAGGTATGTCGAAATACCTCAAAAATAAAATATGAGGAAAAAATCATCAGGAAGCACTCCCAAAAACCTGGAAATATTTCTAACACCTTCAAATTATGCCAAATTGTCTCAGAAGATCAAAGATCAATGGCCCTCGCAGTCAATGACATATCCTCAAGCTCATCGACCTTTTATGTCCGAGATCAATGACACTATTGGACCCGAGATCAATGACATTTTAATCTAACGTCAAACTTCAATGACTTGGTACCCGGTCAGTCTTTTGACCCTCCGATACCCAGAATTGGAGGGAAAATTCGCAAATTTGTAGTAATAAAATATCATGAAAAAATCATCAGGAAGCAGCACTCCAAAAAAACTTGGAATTATTTCTAACACCTTCAAATATGTCAAAATGCCTTCAGAAGGTCAAAGATCAATGGCCCTCGCAGTCAATGACTTAGATCCTCAAGCTCATCGACTTTTTATGTCCGAGATTAATGACGCTATTGGCCCCGAGATCAATGACGTTTAATACTTTTAAATTGCTCTGAATTTAATGCGAATAAGCTGCAATACCCCATTATTTTTATTTTAACTTTTGTAACGGCAACAAACCTTTTTCGTCTTGACCTTCCTCTTCCTGCCTTCAATAAGGTCGAAATACTCCTGAGATGTTTTGCTCAGCAATGGCTTGGTTACTCCCACTAAAATAGTATGTATATGCAGTTATTAAAACGAATTTAAAAAACAAAGATACGTTACTATCACAGAATGCAACGTAATATTGTTCCCCATCGATAAATATATTTAATCCGCTGCTTGTAGGAGGGTAACTATGTACCGTTAACGGTTTTCCTTGGCTGGTGATTATGTCGAATTTAGCTGTAAATGTAAAAATGACTTGTCTCAATTTTTTTTCTGGGTTTTATGTCTAAGTCATACTTCTAATATCGTCGCCTATACCAACTGCTGCGAATACATAATCGATTATAATTGCTATGAAACAGTCGGGATTCACTATTAGCTCCTTGTTCTGCACATTTATCGCCCTCTTCGCATCGTCTGTTAAATCAGAAATATTATAGGCATCCACGTCTTTAGTCTCCTCAAAAGTATTTAAATCTGCAAATCGCAGAGAAATGTAACATCTTACACCTGTTGACGATGGAACAACTTATTTCAACCTTACCAATGTATTTAACAGAAAAATACATGTTTATGCGCTAATAAAAAGCGGTAGATAAACACCATGAATAATAAAATTGTATAAAGTATTGCGTTGTGACGTTTGGCGTTGCTAGGCAACCAAAAAATAACAATCGCCGCTACCGCTGTCGCCAGGCCTCCAGTGGTGTCAGTGTGACGGCGGGTTTTCTTGATTTTTATCGTTTTATTAAGAAAAAAACAATATGGATTGGGATCACATTCTCGCTCTTACTCCCGAAGACCTCGACGACGACGAGAAGGACGAGCTGTACAACACGGTGACGTGGTTTGAGTGCGACGGCGACGATGTCGATTTAACAAAATGCAAAGTTTTGTTGAGGGTGAGTCAGGAAATCTTGAAGTACAAGGGGGAGCAGGTGGAGGCTTTGCTGCACGAGTTGGAAGAGGTGGCGGTCAAACAGGGCGAGGAGGAAGCGGTCGGGAGGATGGAGTCTGATACGAGGAGTTCCAGGTCTAGGAAGTCTAGTAGTATAGAATTGGAAAGTAAGACATTATCAGTATAAGTATTATGCAGGATGGTCGAATTTTGTGGGCGTTATTTAGGCTGGGAAATCATAATAGGTACACTTTACATTTCGTGTAAAAATTTTGTAAGACTTCACATTTTTTATACTGAGTGTTTATTAAACATACGGCAAAAATTCAAGGGATTATTCCTGGACCATTCTAAAAATATTTTGTCCTTTGAAGAGCCGCTTTGTTCCGAAGATACAGGGCGAGAAAAATTTTCTACAAAACCAATTTTGAGGACAAAATATTCTTAGAATAGTCCAGGGAATATGGACCAACCAACTTGCGTTAAACAGCTCATCTTTTTAAAAATGGATTGCAATATTTTTATTTTTTTCTCACAAATTCTTAACTTTTCCAAAAAACTTGAAGAGATTAAAAAGTTGGTAAATGAATGGGGCTTTTTAGACATATTTTTTAAAAGAAAAATTTTAGGAAAAAAAAATAGGAACAAATGTCATAGGGGTTGATTATTTATTTTCAACCCCTTACAAAAATACTTCAGGGTTGAAAAAATTTAAAAAAATGTAGTGTTTTTGTCGGATAATGTTCACCAAGTTTGGTTTCTTTAGCTGATATACATGGTAGATAAAAAAGAAAAACAATTTTTTTATAAAATTTTTGGGGGGCGCAACTTCAGGGGAGAGTTTTTTCAAAAAATGTTATGCCAAAGGCCCCTATTAATTTTCATCAGAGAATCGCCCTCGCCCTTTACATTTTTAAAATTATTTAAATACACCCTGTATGCTATTGTACTCGAAACTACATTTTTTGTTCATTTAAACACAAGCAGATTTTTTTAAACAAGAACGACTTCTAGAAACTGAAAAATATAAAACTTTCTCTTGTTTTTAATTCCGTCCGCGGTTGTATTGTATATGCTAAATCTTAACGCGACGTTTCAGATTTAGAATTAAAATATTTGGAGCTTAAGGGCAAGTACAAGAAAACTATGAAAATCAATGAAAAGAACACCGCGGAAATAAATAAGGTAAGGGTAAGATTTTTTTCCTTCTCAAAGTTAATATTGCCCGCCCGATTTCTAGCTGACTAACACAATAAAAATATTGGAGAGAGAAAATAAGAACTTGCAGAATGAGGTTCAAGCGAAGTCTCATGAGACAGCTAGCGAATCTGATATATCTGAAAACATAAAGGATCAGCAAAAAGAACTGATGCAGACCGTCCAAAACAAGAATAAACAAATTTCGGAACTACTTGGCGATATAGAAGTAAGCAATGGTTTTTTGAGGGTATACGAGGGGGAACCAAAAATAACCTGGCGAAATTTGCTGCGCGCGCCGCTCTTGTAAATCGATTTTTTTAAATGGTTGATATTCGAGAACAGCGTGCGGCATTGAAATTTTGTTCGAGATTTTTTGGCGAAAAGCCGCATGACTCGCATCCCACCCTACTTAGCTGATCTGGCGCCCAGTGATTTTTTTGTATTCACCCGGAAACGTTTGAACGAGTGTATAAGTATTAATGGTGAGTACTTCGAAGCTGACTAACGTTTGTAACTCGAAAAAATAAATTCTGCATTTTTTAAAACACCACCGGTTATTTTTGGGTCTCCAATGATAAACCTAAACAAAAACAAATAGGTTCGACATTGCTAATATTTACATAAACGATATAACTCCCGGGAAAAAAAATAATTTACTTGTTTTACTGATTACTGTTTGATTTAGCAGTAACTGTACAAAAATATCTTCGCGGGAAAAAAATATTTTTTTGTTGAAGGTGGTCGAAAAGGAAAATTTTATTTTACGCGGAAAACTTTCCAATGTCAGAGACGAGCTATCCCTCGCTACAAAGGAGATATCTACCATGACGGAGATTTTAAAGGCAAAAGAAGCAGCCATCGAAGAAAACGAAGGTAATGGTAGTACTTTTAACTTTTATTTTAAAAACTGTTTCAATTTGTTTAGAATCTTTGAAGAAAATTTCCGCGCAATACGACATTCTTCAAGAAGAATTCGAAGAATTAGAACAGTTGAAGAAGAACATGGAACAGGAAATGAAGGATTTTGTTGCTGAAGTAGACACGAGAGTAGACCAGTGGAAAGTAAGAAGTATATTAGAGATTTCTGTATTAGTTGATCTATTTATGGTACCTTGTAGCAAATACTGGACCAAAAAGACGCAGAAATCCAAGAACTGAAGAGTAGGAATCATCAACCCAGCTTAAATTCTTCCTTGTCCAGTCTACCAAATGACGAAATTGAAAAATCTCAGGTTAACGCTTTGCAGAGGTCTCTATCAGAAAGAGAAAAGCAACTGATGGAGGTCCAGATTCAGCTCCAGGTAGCTACCAAAGAAATGGAAGAAAATACAGAGATTTTGAGGAACCTGAAGGAAGAAAGGGACAAAGATGTGAATAAACTCAAAGAATTGTACCAAACAGTGAAGAATTTAAAAAAACAATTGAAAGCTGTCCATGAGCGGTGCCAAAATTTGCAGGAGGAGGTGACCTACGCTGAGAAGACTTCTGCCAGTAAAGATGCAGAGGTAGAAGCAGGCCAAGGTAAAATTAGATTGATGACCACTTATTTTTCTAGCTGAAAGACATTCTGGATAAGATGCATGAAAATGGGCAGGTGGATTTGGTCGTTCAGGTCAAGGAATTGCAGGACTTGAAGACGGAGAATAGGATCAAAGAAAAGCAGATCATGAATTTAGTGAAAACCTCTAATAAATTGCAAGAAAACTGTGATCTTTATGAAAAAGAAAACGAGGTGTTAAGGTAAGTATCGCAAAACGTCTACGCAAGAAAGTTCAACTCTTGTTTTCAGAACCAAACTGGGAATGTCCGAGGATGAACAACTAAACCTAAGCGGTTTCGCAGCAAAACAGTCCAAACACAAGAAGGAGCTAGAAGTTCTTAAAAAGAAACTAACCAAAATGGAAGAAGAAAAGCTTTCGTTGAAGTCGGAAACCCAAAAACTCAATAGAATGCTGTCTTCCTTAACCGACCAAATTCTTGAACTGGGCCACAAACCCATCTACGACAACGTTACAGAGCGCAAGCCAATTTCCGTGGATCTAAAAAACGAGAACAAAGCTCTCGTGGATGAAAACGAAGCTTTGAGGAAGGGAATGCACGAGATACTAAACAGCATCAACGTGAAGAAGGGTTCATCTTTGAACGAGATCAAATCAGAGACGTTTGAGAAACTACTGAGGGCTTTAGACGTTAAACATATTTCGGGATGGTACCACCCTGCTATGAGGCTACAAGCGGAGCTCCATAATTTGGAAGGCATCAACGCGGAATTGAGAGAGCAACTGAGAGAAGTTAGAGTTGAGGCGGAAAAATATAAGTCCATGGAGGAAAAAGCAGCAACAGTTCACGGGAAGGACGAAGCTGATGAAGTAGAGGAAAAAGAAAAATCTGACGAACCAGATATTACCCAACCAAAAGAAGAGAGTGACATCAAGGAGTCTGAAGATTACAATATCATTGATATTACCAATTTAGATGACTTGAAGGAAAATCTGGTCCAGTTATTCGACAAGAGCGGAGAAAATTTTAAAACTATTACAAATTTAGATTACATCTACTTGGAAAAGGAACTGGTTCAGATTCAAAGAAAAACTTTGGTAATTTTTAATGCATTACTGAACGAAAAAGTAAAACTTGAAAATGAGCTGAAATCAAATGAAGAACGTCTTAAAGTTATCGAAGATAAATGTGAATTGTCGGAATCGAAACTAAAGGTATTGGAAGAAAACGAAACTGATGAGGCAAAGTTGAAAAAACTGGAAGAAATAGTTTCTGATAACGTCGTATTGAAAAGAAAAGTGATATACTTAGAAGACGACTCGAACAAACTAACCAAGAAACTGGAGGAACTTAAAATCGACTTGTCTAATTCTCAATCAGAGCACATAAAGAAGATTGGAGAATTATCCAGAGCAAATATAACTTTGGAGAAGAATTTAGCGATACTGAAAAATCTCAATGAAACCTCAGTCGACTACGAAGCTTTTGAAGACCTACGGAAAACACTGGACGGTATTACTATTAAATACAGAGAGCTTTCTTCAAACATCAAAAAGGATAATGAAGAAAAATGCGCTGAAATAAAGATGCTTCAGGAGTCACAGAAGACTTTCGAGAAAGATAAGGCAGAACTAAAGAAAAAACTGGTAGAAGTACTGTCCAAACTTTCGCTTCAATCAGTACAAGACGTGGACGACAAGATGGAGAAGCATTCCCAGAAATTAGCAGAGTGCGAGGTTAATGAGATAACAGAGAGACAACGTGCCAACCACACCAATAATTTGTATGAGTTAGTGAAGGAACAATTCAACAAGTCCGAGGAACGATTCCAAGAGTACTCGAAGTATAACGAGGACTTGCTGAAGAAGAACCTTGTCCTTCAAGAACAACTGAAAGAGGCCGAACACAACCTTTGTAACTATATCGACAGGGCATCGTATAAACAACTGCAAACGGTTAACAATGATCTGGTTAGGCAGAACGAAAAACTGGAGGTGCTCAATAGTAAACTGGAAGAAGATTTGAAACTAGCAAAACAGAGCTTCAATAACCAACAGATGTGGAACAACTGCAAGGAACAGGAATTGTTGCATCTGAAACATCAGGTCGTCGATCTCGTTTCTGCTTCTGACGAAAAAATGATTATAGCTCAGCTGAATTCGGACCTGTTGCACTGTAGGCAGTCGGAAAATGTATACAAAACTCGACTGGATGAAGCAGAGGAGGAATTAAAGTCGACTAAAGAAGAATTGGAGAGAAATACGACCAAATATGAACAGGAGAAACTAGAAGCTGAAGAAAAAGAAGTTCAGTTAAATAAAAAGATAAAGTAAATACGATAAAATACAGTAGTAGAGTTAAGGAGTTTATCTTTCTCTTTTTCAGAGTTTTGCAAGAGTTGCTTTGTAAACAAAAGCAGCAATACTTGGGAAGCATTCCGCTATGTTCAGAAGAAATATACCTTGAAAATTTACGAAGTATAAACAAAGAAAAGCACGAGACGTTCCTCCATTTGCACAGAACCAAAATGTTGGAAGCGGAGAATGAGATCCTAAAAGAACAGTTGGAAATTGAGTTGCAGGATGTGACGATGCAGAAACAAATGATAATCGAAGGCGACAAAGAAGAATTCAAAAAGGCTCTCAATTGGATGCAGGAAAAGAAAACCTTGCAAATAAACGTAAGAATGAAATCATATAACCGGCAACTGTTTCATGATTTTATTTTAGGAACTGCGATATAAGCGTCAATCTGAATTCAAAGAAGCTCAACTGCAACACTTCATGGATCGCGTGAAGATGCAGGACGAACAAATCTCGAAACTGGACGAGGAGCTTTTGTTGTGGCACAAAAATTTCGACGTCAACCTACCTCCAAAGAAAACTTCTGTTGAAGAAGTCAAGAAGGTCGTAGAGAAATCTCCTGCTCCAGCCGTTAAAATAATGAAGTCATGCGAGGTCCAGACGATCGAAGCCGTTCTAAATGAAGACGTTCGTGAATCAGAGGAAACTCTTCAAATCCCCAGCCTAAAATCTGAGCTCATCAAAGTGCGCGAGGTCGTTGACGAGAAGCAACGAAACATCGACCAGTTGAAGAGTAAAATAACCGAACTGGAAATGACCATTAGCCTATTCAGGAAACAAATCGGTGATAAACAGAGTCAGATAACTTTCTATGAACGTCACATCATGGAGTTGCAAGGCAAGAGGGACGAAGTGCATTCTGGTGGCGCTGGAGGGGACAACCTTAGCGTGGGGATGGAATCCAGCAAAAGCAACGATGAAATTATAAGTTTAAAGGTAAGTTAATACGTCGTTAATGGATTCCATATCGTATAGAGGCCACAAATCAGATTCTTGAGGAACTAAACTGACCGTTACATTTTCAGGCCTCCATCCAATCCTTACAGGATAGTTTGAAGTCTAAAGAGGAAGAGATAATAAAATATCAAACACTGTTGAAAGTAGACAGAGATAAACACAGCTTAGCGGCTGCCAGGCTGCAAGAGGAGCTGCAGACCCTCCAGCTAGCTTTGACCGAGGAGAAGCAGAAATGTTTAAGGTTCATAAAGTTGTGAGGTTCCAGTGCAGACTTATCTTCTCTCGTTTGCAGCTTGAAGGAGACTTTTTCGCGATCAAGACCCAACAGGGCTGCTCTGGAACAGTACATGACCCAAGTGCACGCCCTCGAGAAGCACACTGCCGAGTTACACACCAAAATCACCACCTTGGAAGCCCAGTTGCAGTCGAGCAGACAGGAAGCAGTCAGGTGGAGGTCCTTGGCCAACGACAGGTTGGATGCCATGGAGGAACTAAGGAACGAGTAGGGAGGTTCTGAAAACGTCGAACTTGTTTAACTGTTTTTTTTTTTCAGCTTGGAGGAGCAGCACAAGAACGAACTCTCCGTTTACAAGACCGATTCCGAAAAGTTGAAGGAGCTTGGGAACGACGACAAGAACAACCTGTTGCAGCTCATCATGAAGTACAAGAGCGAGAGCAGCGGTCAGATCAGCGCCGACATTGGCAGACTGATTAGAGAGAAGGACGACAAAATCCACGAGTTGACTGTGAAGTTGCGACAAACGAAGGTAAGAAAATCCTCGAATTTTTAAGATATCCTTGAATCCACCCTTTCAGAATGAGGCGAAACGTTTTCCTGCTGCCGAAAAATTGGAGACTAGCACTTCTCCAAAACTGAACGACCTGGAATCATCAGTGGAGCTGCTTTCGAAAGAAAACGAACTGCACAAAAAGAGATACGAGCAGCTGCTGAATAAAGAGAGAAGCGCTAGAGAGGAGATACGAGATCTGAAAGCTCAGCTTTTGAGGAAGTACGGAGTTTATTAACGTAGCTTGTTGCCTGTGTACATATTTATATTTTTTTGACACCCGTCGCGTTTTTGTATACAAATCTAGCATACGCCACTGACGTTTTAGACCCAGCGCTGCCAGAACCGACAAGTCGGAGAAGACCATCAAGGACCAACTCCAAAGGAAGATCTCCTCTCTGGAAAACGAGATGGCCGACCTCAAGCAAAACCTGGCCGAACAGATCTCCATCAACGAAGGCCATAGGGTCCAGGCTTCCGAGGACTTCGACAAGTGGAAGAAGATGAAGCACTGGCAGCAGAGCGCCGAGAAGCTGAAGAACAAGCTAAAAGAGCGTGACAACGAATTCGAGAAGCTCCAGCAGACGTGTTCCGGGTACAGATTGCTCATAGAACGGTTGGAGAGGGAGAAGCACAATTTGGAGAACAGGGTGAAGAACTTGAAGAGCAGCAACGCGAGCGCTGTGGGCGTGAGGGAGGTGGAGGTGTTGAGGATTGAGAATATGAGGCTGCAAGCGGAGATAGAGGCGGTCAGTTCTAGGTTGGAGATGCAGCAGCACCACGCCGGTGGACTGGGTGCAGCCATGATGCAGGAGAAGTTGGAGGGGCAGGAGAGGAAAATCGCCATTTTGGAGCTAACTGCGAAGGTAAGTGGTAGATGATGATCGAATCCGTTGTGATGTACTTTAATATATTGGGTGTCCCAAAATTTCCAATTTTGCTCCATTTGTGAGGAAAAGAGTAAAGTTCATGTTTACAAAGTTCAATTGACTCAAGAACTGAAGCCTACTGACCACGCAGAGCGAACACAATTCGTTGAATTTTTGAACAAAATCATCTTCAGATCGTTAACAGTTAATGGTGCTCGCTATCGCGACATGATAATCCAGTTTTTTGTGCCTAAATTGCAAGATATAAATGTCGTCTACATGTGGTTTTAACAAGACGGTGCTACATGTCATACAGCCCGAGAAAAATTTAATTACCGCATGAGTCATTTCCTGGTCGTGTAATTTCCCGTTCTGGTGATCAGAATTGACCGACCAGATCACTTTTAGACTGATCGAAATAACTCATTTAGAGGGAAAAAAAAGAAAATTGTTACCTGCACTTTTATAAGTGGAAATGGTAAAGGGGCTTATAATGAACGAAAAAAATAATAAATGCGTGAGCAGGGGTGGCGAAGTGTTGATTTGGGTGGTTGAAAAATTGTGAAAAATTGTATCATTGCGATTTCTGGCGAAAGTTGACGTCAAATAAAAAAGTGTCATACAAAAGTTGTAGATCATGCAAAAATCTACAACTTTTGTACAGGTCACTTTTTAAGTTAACCTCAGAATTTCCGAGAAAAATGCGAAAAACAATTTTTTTTCTTATTTTTCGTTTTTTATTTCTCATTTCCGCAAAAATAATTTAATTTTGACGAAACTGGGTGAAAGTCTACCTTTCTGTGTCTTAAATAACCACAATTTTGTTTAAATAAAAAAATCAGGAAGTTTACGAGATATTCATTTTTTCTGGTCTGACACACTTTTTTTTTCAAAGAAAAATTCTATTTAGAAAAATCATCATACAGAGTTCTGCCGATGATCATTTTTTTCGTTTTGACATATACTTTTTGGCGAAATAAAAAAATCTGTAATCACAGTTCAAAAATATGCTCAGAAATGCAAAAAAAAAATAAAAAATGACTTGCAACAGTGAATTTTTTAGTAATTGTTGATAATTTGTTTAAATTAAAAAAAAATCAAAAACTGAATACACCATTCAATTATACGGAAAAATATATATAAAAGAAAACTCTAAAAAAAGTTATGTTTTTTTATACCTAATAATATGCCGTTTAGAAAGTTTTAAAATTGCTGGTAATTCCGGAGATATCCGGAAATAACCGAAATTTTGCAAAATTGTTTAATTTTTTTTCTGGTTTTATTTGAAAACGAATTTTAAAATAAATTGCATATTTACAATGCCACTTTTTTCGCTCTCGCTCTATACAATGGCATCAACATTTTTGCAATCCGACGTTTCATCTTCGAGGGGCCATCATCAGGTTAATTTTTTTAAATACGTCGCTGCTATTATACATACAAGTTATTTTTAATTCTGAATTAGATGATATTACTATTGTAAAATGTTTCTAGCTTGTTTTAGCTATCATTTAAAATTTTTGCTGAGTACGGCTCTGAACGCGTCCCAAACATCTTTTGGATGAAGTCATAACAATTTTTTTACTACTATTAGCAATACTAATTAGAAATAATAAAACATTTCATAAATTCGTATTATTTTTTTATTAGGTATAGTGTTTACGTAGTTGAAACTGTATAAAAACTAAAAGTCGGCATCTCTACAACTTTTTAAATTTGGATATTTTGTGCTTTTATACTGTTATGACTTCCTCCAACAGATATTTTGAAAGCGTTCAGAGCCGTACTCAGGAAAAATTTTAAATGATAGCTAAAAACTTTTTTATTACAATAGTAATATCATCTAATTCAGAATTAAAAATTACTTTAGATTTTGTCATAAAAATAGCAGCGACGTATTTAAAAAAAATAACTTGATGATGGCCTTCGAAGGCGAAACGTTGGATTGCGAAAATGTTGACGCCATTGGATAGAGCGAAAAAAGTGGCAGTGTAAATATGCAATTTATTTTAAAATTCGTTTCCAAATAAAGCCAGAAAAAAATAAAACGATTTTGCAAAATTTCGGGTTTTCGGGTTTCGCGTCAACAGTAAACTTTGCAGTTAATACTTTGTATCGCTGAAATCTCAAATCATCCAGAGATAATTTATCATTTATGCATTTGTAATTCGACTTAGATGTTATAGCAATACTGTATAAAAATAAAGTTTTGGGTCAAACAATGAGACAGTTTTTTTATGTTTTTTTCCATAGAATTGTATGGTGTAATCAGTTTCTGATTTTTTTTTTAATTTAAACAAATTATCAACAATTACTGAAAAATTGACTGTTGCAAGGATTTTTTTTTTGCATTTTTGAGCATGTTTTTGAACTGTGATTACAGATTTTTTTATTTCACCAAAAAGTATATTGCAAAACGAAAAAAATGATCACCGGCAGAACTCTGTACGATGATTTTTCTAAATAGAATTTTTCTTTGAAAAAAAAGTGTTTCAGACCGGAAAAAATTAATATCTCGGAAACTTCTTGATTTTTTTTCTAAAAAAAATTGTGGTTATTTAAGACACAGAAAGGTATACTTTCACCAAGTTTCGTCAAAATTAAATTATTTTTGCGGAAATGAGAAATAAAAAACGAAGAATCAGAAAAAAAACTGTTTTTCGTATTTTTCTTGGAAATTTTGAGGTTACCTTAAAAAGTTACCTCTACAAAAGTTGTAGATTTTTACATGATCTTACTATGATCTACAACTTTTGTATTGGATACTTTTATGTTTAACGTCAACTTTCGCAGGAATCCCAGTGATACAATTTTTCACAACTTTTCAACCCCCCAAATCAACTCTCCGCCACCCCTGCTCACGCATTTATTTTTTTAAGTTTATTATAAGCCCTTTTACCATTTCCACTTATAAAAGTCCAGGGAACAATTTTTTTTCTCCAAGTATAATTTGGTCGGACTATTTCTAGAAACTCAAAAACTAATAAATATGTCAAAATACTTCAAGTAACTTAAAAATACTTCGAAAATCTTCAAATTCGTCGAAATACCTTGATAAATTGAAAAGGATTGATTGGAGATGAAAAATCCATGACCTAGTGTCAAAAGTTAATAATGGGGAGTGAAAATTTAAAAAATACAAAGTTTACAGAAAATAAAATTTTTTAACAATTAAATGTGACGGCTCGTTTGGATTAATATTCAAACGCAATTTTGTTAAGCGTTCATTAAAATTTATAAAAAATACAAATAAATAAATCAATAAATAAATAAATAAATAAATAAATAAATAAATAAATAAATAAATAAATAAATAAGAAGATTAACTGGATATTGGTTGCAAATCCAGCCATAGTCCACCAATAGGAGAAAGGAGGATACCAGCAGTCTCCATCTCAGCGGCAATTTCGTTCTTTTGTTCAAGTTAAAATTAAAATTGCTCAGCATCAAAGACAGCGCGATTTTAGCTTGAATCATCGCGAATCTCATACCTAAAAAAAAATAATACCCAGATTTCGCCATATCCCTAAGATAATATTTAGAGACTCACCAATACAATTTCTGGGACCATCTCCGAAGGGTATGTAAGTGTAGTCCCAAATTTTCGATCTATTTTCTTCGTTGAAACGATCCGGATCGAACCGTTCGGGCTCTGGGAAGTATTCTGGATCTCTATGGAGCCCATAGCAGGGTATGATCACTGATAATCCTTCTTTGATGAAACTGGTAGTGCCTGGTATCTGGTAGGTCTTTGTGCATTTCCTCAGAAACGCTGGAGCTGGAGGGTACTTTCTTAGAGTCTCTAAAAACAACGTTCTATTAGTCGCTTTTGTTTTCACAGGTGTTTGTTTTTTTTTACCGAATATGATGGTGTCCAAATAATGCATCTCCATAACAGATTCGTAACTAAGACCTCCGAATGTTTTGAAAACTTTAACAACTTCTTTCCTTGCTTTAAGTTGGATATCTTCGTTTGTCGCCATTTCGAACAGAGCGAAGCTGATGGTGGTCGACGTCGTTTCGAAACCGGCAAGGAAGAAGATGAAGGCTTGAGCCGCTGCTTCTTCCATGGTCAGACCAGTTACACCAGGAACCTAAATCATAAACAGTTAACATTTTTTTAATGAAGTATTAAAAATTGCTGTTTGATTGACTCACTGCTTACTATTTTAGATCTAGAGTTTAAGCTTGTACCTTGGCATTTTCGCTGTTCTGGTTGTCATCCAGTTGTCCATCTTTTCTTAGCTGGATCAGCAGTTGAAGGAAATCGTTTCTGGTGACGTTGTTCTTCTCCCGATACTCTATGGTTTCCTTTACAACTCGGTAGAAGAAGTTTGTCACCGTTCTTGAAAAGACTCCAATACGTAGGAGCCTCGCCAAGGAGGGAAAACTTCTGATCACGATCTGAAATAAAGTAGGCAAATACACATAAACAATTTTGGACTTTTCTTCACCACTCACCATCTTCAGCAGATCTCCTATGGTCTGTGTGAAGGCCCTTTTTCCCATCATCCTGAACTCAGCTTGAGGATTTCTCATGCAGTTACACTCAAGACCGAAAGCACAACATCCTATGACATCCGTGGTGTACCTAGCTAAGATTTCTTTGATTTCCACTGCACCTCTTTCCTCCGAAGTCAGCTGTTTCAGCAGGTCAATCATCTGGTGACCGCACTGGGCTATGGTGTCAAACATATACTTCAATTTACCCGGTGAAAACGCTGGGGTCATCTTGGCTCGAAGTCGCTTCCATTTGGGACCTGAAGGAAGAATTACAGACTAGGATAATAAGATCTGTAGCAGGAACTCGTCTTTCTAAGTAACTGATAGAAGATAGTTTATAAGAGTTTTGTACCTGCTATGGAAAACAGATGCGCGCTGATGGGGTCATTCTCCTCATCGTAGTAGATGCCCCTGTCGTAGAAGTGCTCGAAGTCGGTGCTTTGGATGTCCTTGATCAACACCGGATCCAGCGGCAAGAAGGTGGGTCTGCTGAAGAAGTACATTCCCACACATTTTTGGCCTTTCATTCGGTCGTAAACTTCCTTCACTTTTTCCGCCATGTTCTGCCTGCGAAGTACGACGGACGCCACGTCACCAAAGGGGAAGGTGGGGTTCAGTTGCGGGACTCCCATACGGCGCCAAAAAGAATGGGCGCGCTTGAAGTAGACGTAGATGAGTACGGCCAAAGTTGCTAAGAGAATTAGGTGGATGTTTTCGGTAACTACCAGGTACATATCCTGGTGATGAAATAAAAAATTCCTTGTTACATACTGTTGTCACATAAAGACTGTGTGGGCAGCTTGATGTCTATTTGGGTATCTTCGTCGCTATTCACGGGTTGCTTGTCTGGCATTCTCATTGGAATACCCATATACAATGACAATATCTGCATAATCTTCAGATGTAAATAAATGCATTTTATATTTAGCACTTTAACGCTTTAATCATTGTTATAGCAATCAGGCTACTATAATTGAAATATGAAATTATATTTTATCTGCTCCCAATTAATACATTGTTTTTAAGGAGGTAAGTGGATTTTACCGTAGAAGTGGAAGTTGCTATGGACAACGAGAGGTAAGTGAGGTAACTTACCTCTCGTTGAAGAATGAATTAATATTTATAGTAATTGTACACCTATTACATTTAGTAACATTTATAAAATCTGGATTTTTTCCCTCGCGTTTACATTTTTCTCAAAATGATTTGACCGCTCCGTCACCGGAGGCTCAATATTATCTGATTGATCCATTAAAATAGCATGATGCGACGTAGTACTAGAACCTGGAGTAGAAGTGTCATTGTAAAGAATCCTGTTGGCTATTTCATTTTTGCTATTTAAACTGTCAGCAACATAACTTTCTGCAATTGTGGCAGATTTCCACCCACCATGTCTCTTGATTGCTAATACATCAACTCCTGTATTAGCCAGCAACGTTGCCGATGTTCTTCGGAATGAATGGTCTGTATATGTTTCAGGATGTTCTAGTTTCAAAAACTGTGCAATCTTTTTAAGAATCCTAGAAAGGGTATTCTTGCCGACTGGTTGGTTGTAACATCTACCTGCTTGATAGCGCATAAAAAGCGTGAAACTTCAGTTTTAATTTCCAATCTAATCTTGACATATTTCTTAAGAATTTCTAGGTGAGAAACAGAACCCAGACGAGAAGTAATTGTAAACGTACGTGACATACCATTTTTAGAATCTGGAACTGTAACTACAATAATGTCATCGAAATTTTTTATTTTGCCGTTGTCCAAACTAAATTTACAAACTCATCTGAACGACATGCTCCTGCAATGCCTAAAACCGTCACTACCTTCATTAGCAAATATGTGTTATCGGGTGCCTGAACGAGAAAATCGTTGACTTGTTCTCTTTTAAAAACGTTTGACTTTTTAGGTATATAGCCGTCATTTTTACGTTTCAAAAATTCTCTCAGCTTGAGGTTTTCTGAAAATAGTTGACTTAATCATTGAGTATTCACTCCACAAACTCGCCGGTGACTTTAAAGTTCTTGACTTCTCCGTGAAATATGCTCGCAGTGACACCAGTATTTTTTTTCTGGCACCATTCTTTGAAATTTCTATATGCTCGTCGGTAGCGCACCTTCGACTTCTCGGACAATAAAAATTCGCAGGCAGCATTTGCTGCACTTTCTATTTAAAAATCACTTATTTAGAAATAATTCAAAACCAGCAAAATTGCAACTTTTATGTAGTTTTGTTTAGAAACGACAAAATCCAAACATCTAAGGCGACTCTGCAAGATTTCGAATAATGTCAAAATAAATTGCTTAAGAAATATCAAAAAATAAAATCAAATTTTTATTTAATGAACCATAAAGAACTGTGGGAGCAGATAAAGTGTTATACACCACGCAGCGGTTAAGCATAATTTACCTTCTTTATGCTGTAAATAACTATTTTAAATGGTTGTAACTTCTAAACAAAAACGAATCGGATCTATGTTCATATAAGAAAAAATGTTGAAATTAATCCAGTACCATCTCTGTCAAATTTTGTCATAGAGCTTGTAGAACACCCTGTGTTGTGAAAATTATTGACATTTAGTAAATCAAAGTACATATGTCTAACTTAATAAATGTTGTTTCAAAAAGTAATACAAAAAAACCTAGTGAATATTTAATTGCTATTTGCTTGTTTTGACTTTTTGCTTTATTTTCCTATCTGAAGAAAAATTAAATAATAACTGAAACACTTTTTATATATTATACGTAGTGTTTCTTTTGAAAACGAAAGTCTGAAATAATTCATTAAAAGAAATCAACTCTATTAGGTAGTACTGCGTGTTTATTTTTTTCTTATAAATCAAATGAAGTAAGAATATTGCCAAAAGTATTCGTATTTAATAAATTAGATATTTATTCAAATAAGGAAAATAAAAAATAAATTCCGGTTTATATTTTAATCGGTTTTTGTTAGTAAGTGTTATAAAAAACCCATTAAGGCTTATTTACGTGCAAACACATTTACATCAATCAGTATCAATAATAATATCAGTGACACCACTATCTCACAGTCATATCCTATCAGACTTACATAAATTAATTTAAACCATTATGTAAATTGCTCTTCTAATAAATCAATACATTAAAAAACTTACGTTAATTGTTGCTTAATCGATGTATCGCAAAAGTATCATAAATTAAAATTACTGCAAAAACACTGGGCACTTAGCTTGCATTCTCGGGAATACCCACAACATACTCTGGCGAAAATTGCACGCATCTTTGTTGTGTACAGTTATCTGATGCTATCTTCTGGCCGGTTTACGGTTTACATTAGTGGTTGGCCTACATAGGAGGTATATTCGACAATATGACACTTATACGACCTCCTTTTTAGATCATTATAAAATAATGAATGAAGAATTCGTTATATGTAATATACGAGGCGTGACACGTAATTCAACCCGTTTAATCGGCATTTTAATTCAGTCGGATCATTAAAAATATATACAATGTAACACATTAAGAGTTCCTACAGAAAGAAGTCGCAGTATACTTGAGGAGTAGACGTTGCCACTGTTACACTTTTGCATCACAATCTTATTTAGCACATTTGTATGTATTTACAAGCTCATTGTGAGTCGTCGAATTGTGTCTGGCGTTAAGTAAAATGTAATATTTTCACATTCTGTTACAAGCAGGCGATGACTGCAATTTAAAACGATACTCTTGAGGCGTGACTGTTGTCATTGTTACATTTTTGCATCATAGTCTTGAGTAACACTGTTGTACTTGTTAGGCGAATTATCAAAACAAATGGGAGTTGCCAAGAAGATACATTTGACGGGTATCACTATGATCTTTCTCAATCTGTCACTTAACTACTCTCAAGTAGTTTTCCAAAGGCGTATCATTGGGAATTACCGTCAAAAAAAAAACAGAAGTAATGAGTTCAATGTACTCTGAAATGTTACATGATAAATTAACCTAATTCTAATCTTTGTGTATCTTTGAAATTTGACATTTCAACACTACTTGCGCATATACAGGGTGGCCAAATGAAAACGGAACAGAGCCATTTTCAGGAACTGCGTCAAGATCGTAGAAAAACGCTCAGACCCGTCGATTTTAGATTAAAGGGGGACATTCTTTGCTGGTATTTTTGACTCAGTCACTTTCACGCCCAAGCAAGGGTAAGCATCACCCCAAAATATTTAAATGGCATTGGGAGTTGAGTCATATTTCTTTTGACAGCTCTTACAATTCTCTTTACAACAGACTTTTATAAGACCGCCCAATACTTTGAAATAAATTTACATTTTAAAATTTAAATTATGTTTAGTTCCTTACTTACTACTTAGTTGATTAAATGTTCAAACTGATGACCGCCCGCTTCCATACAAGAATAAAGATTTTGTTCGAAACGTTCGCGCACATTCCGAAGCATTTCCGGAGTGATTCGACGGCATTCGTCGACGATTCTTTGACGCAAATCTTCCAGCGACGCTGGCTGTGTTTTATAGATTTTACTTTTTAGGTATCCCCACAAAAAGAAATCAAGGGGCGATAAATCCGGTGATCGTGGAGGCCACTCAATGCTGCCTCTTCTCCCAATCCAATTCCGTAGAAAACGTTGGTCCAAATACTGACGGACAATTAACGCATAATGCGGAGGAGCACCGTCCTGTTGAAAAATCAAATGATCTTCATCATACTCTGGAACATTTTCAATAATATCAGTCAAGGCAGGGTCAATAGCGTCTTCCAGTAATTGCAAATACATTTGGCCAGTCAAATTACCAGGTAGAAAAAAAGGACCCACCAGCCGGTCACCGAAAATTCCAGCCCATACATTTAATTTTTCCGGTTGCTGTGTATGCACCTCGTGAAAAACTCTTGGGTTTGAATCGGACCAATAGCGGCAATTGTGACGATTTACCGTCCCGTTCAAGAAAAAACTGCATTCATCAGAAAAACAGATGTTAAAAAGGAACTGTGGATCGTTCCCTGCTCGCTCACTCATTATTTCGCAAAATTGCAAACGGCGGTCATAATCATCCTCATGAAGTTCCTGGACTAAATGTATTTTGTATGGATGGAATTTATTCTTCTTCAAAATGGTTTGTATGCTAGTTCGATTGATCCCAGACACAGATGCCAGCTGCCTCGTACTTAATGTAGGATCAAGATGAACTTGTCCCAAAACTGCAACTTCACTAGCTTCATTAACTATAGGTTTTTCAATTTCTCGTTTTTTATTGGCTACGTTCCCTGTCTCTTGAAATTTTTTTACTAACTCTAGAACATACTTCCTCCTGACATGTCGATCTTGATGTTGTTCATTAAATAGCTGAGCTGTTCTATTCGCACATTTATTGTTCATAAAGTAAAGCGAAATGATATCTACCCTTTCCGCAATGGAATAAACCATAGTGTTTAATTTTCAAAAACACAATTAAATAAACTACCAACCAACGCTTCCAAATAATACTAGAAAATAATTTGGAATCCACTAATTTTACGTTCATTGTGTGTGTATAGCATTCATTTCTGTTTTTTACAATTGTGTTTTTTTTACGAAAGTGATAACAAATCGCCAAAAACCAATGTAACGCAAGAAATACTAAATTTATACCATTGGCGTACTTAACTCGAATGACTGACATTTTTACCGTTACTAATTGTTTGTACATAAGTTTCAACTTTAAAATCAAAATTCTTAATAAGTATTGGGGCGGAATTATAAAATTTAAAGTCTGTTGTAAAGAGAATTGTAACAGCTTTCAAAAGAAATATTACTCAACCCTCGATGCCATTTAAATATTTTTGGGTGATGCTTACCCTTGCTTGGGGGTGAAAGTAGCGGAGTCAAAAATACCAACAAAGAATGTCTCCCTTTAATCTAAAATCGACAGGTCTGAGCGTTTTTCTACAATCTTGACGCAGTTCCTGAAAATGGCTCTGTTTCGTTTTCATTTGGCCACCCATATTTATATTTCCAATCTCTAGGGCTCTGCCGAGGTTAGAGCCGAACTGGAACGCCTTCAGGACACCGTTTCGAATCTGCAGAAGAGGAATTTGTGCTTAGAAGCCGAAAATCTGGACTTGAAACTGGACCTGGAAAAGTCCAACAAAGAAATTCCCCACTTCCACCAACAGATACAGCACTTGGAAAAGTACGAGCCCATTTCCTCAACCTTAAGTATCAACATTGACTTTCTCATTTTTTTTACTAGTTACGTCGATGTACTGAAAAGCGAGAATACCAAGAGGGATTTGGACACTTTGCCTTGCAGCTCCCAACCTACCAATGAACCTAAGAGGGTGTCGGAACTGGAAAGGACCGTCTTTATCCTGAAAAGAGTGGTGGAAAAGCTTCAAGCCGAAAACAAACGTCTACTTACAGGGAAGAGACCGTTATCTGATCGATCAGTGAGTATGACTTTATAAGGAAGTTAAAAAAGCATAAATGAGGTAATCAAGTGGCCCTAAAATGCGTCCTTGTGCCACTCCGAGCAATTTTAGCTACCTAGTTTCAAATTTGTACTCATGGAAGACATAATTTTTTTTACTAGCCTTCTGGGGACAAACTCAAGAGAGACTACGCCCGGTTGAAGGAGCAGTACGGGGAGAGTCTGCAAAAGATCGGACTATTGGAACGGCAACTAGCCAATAGGAACGAAGCGAAAAATATGCTGAAGAAACCAGATGACGCTCTTTCCGATGAGCTGGCCAAGGTGAAAGAAGAATTGGAACAAAAGTCTCATCTCCTGGAGAAGGTTAAGGTGTTGCTGCACAGGGCAGCTGCGAAGGAAAAGTCCCTTCTGCAAGAGGTAAATGGTCAATGATGTATTGGAGATTTGTTTTCATATTTTTTTTGCAGATAGCTGAGTTGAGAAGCCAGAAAGAGGCTGGAATTAGTCCTATTCCAGAGGAATCTGAAGACAGCTCTGAAATTTAGGTTTTTATACTATACTTTTATTTATACACTTGTAGGTTTGTAATTCGTAAGAATAAACTTTTTTAAATAAGGAAATACTGATTTTTATTTCTATAAAAGATATACAGGGTGTTCAAAAAGTTTGGAACCCCCTCTCTATCTCGGAAAATACTGCTCAAACAAAAAAATGATTAGGATAAAAGTTGCAGGGTTTTAAGTGAGCAAACCAACGGTGACCAAGACCTTGAAGGTCATTTAGAGGTAAAGTTGAAAATTTTAAATGGAATCGTTTACTTTTGATCCCGGAAATGGTAAGAGCGGACAGTTTTATGTTCGAAGGTGACCTTGACCATGACCTTCAAGGTCATTTAGAGGTCAACCTGAAAATTTTAATTGGAACAGTCTATTTTTGACCCCGGAAATGAAAAAAATTGAAATTTTTACGTTCGGATATGACCTTGATCATGTTCTTCAAGGTCGTTTACAGGTCAAGTAGATTTTTAATAAATGACCCGATATTCTTCGCTCTTTTCATTTCCGGGATAAAAAGTATACGGTTCCATTTAAAATTTTCAACTTGGCCTCTAAATGACCTTGAAGGTCAAAGTCACATTCGAACGTAAAATTTTTCGCTCTTACCATTTCCGGGGTCAAAAGTATACGGCTCCATTTCAAATTTTCAACTTGACCTCTAAATGACCTTCAAGGTCACGGCCAAGGTCATGGTCAAGGTCACCGTTGGACTGCTCACTAAAAACCCTGCAACTTTTGTCCTAATAATTTTTTTGTTGAAGCAGTATTTTCTGAGATAGAGAGGGATGTTCCAAACTTTTTTAACACCTTGTATATTAAATTAATTTCCCCAAGTCTAATAATTTCATTCGTTTTTATAAGAGTTCGAGTTCCAAAATACGTTTATTTCTTTTGTAAAATGCCTATATACAGGGTGTTGTAAGTTTGACTGCCTTAATTTTAACAGACGATAGAATACATTAAAATAAACAAAAAAACCTTATTTGACGTGGGTCCTAAACTCGACCATTTCTGAGAAAAAAAATATCAAAATCTCCAACTTGATCGATTAATGAACTTTATGCTTAATTCTAAAAAATAATTACCGTTGTGATAAATTTAAAATTCGATAAAATTTATATCGAGCAATTTATATCGAGCAATGTGACAACGGCGCGGCGGATAACACCAGGTATCTGGAATTGGACCGTGCCTGAGTGTTTTTTGCGTACCACTATTTCCTTTTCTTGAGGTGCATGGAAAATGGTTGTGGACATTTTGAGCATATGTTGTAGTTTGTTTTGTACTTGTGCGTTTAAAAATTAATGAATTTTTTGGTAAGTACCTAAATTATTTTTAATACGTATGATTATTTGGCCGACGTGAATCTTTGGGTACTTTAATTACATATTTTTCAAATTCATAATTTGATTAAAAGTTAAGCTGTTTTAAGAGATCATAATTACTAAAATTCGAGCTAAAATTTAAGCACAACACTGTCTTCGTACTACAAAATCGATACAATTTTATTTTATTTATTTAAAAACTGGAAAACAATTGTTTTGAAATTTACTAAATGTTTCACAAGAATAGTTGTTTACATTTCTTCCGTAGGACAAGTCTGCCGCGTGCACAAGTGGTTTGCGTCAGCTGTGTAACGTCATGTTAAGCGCTGTTATCACGTTGTGATAAAAACTCCCCAATATTAATACTCGCTGAATTTTGAAAACTGTTACGCCCTTGTAATATACAACTTTTTTGTTCATTATGATTACTCTATTTCATGCTGAAGTAATCGCAGTCAAACTTCTTATACTAATTACTAATTTTAGAATAATTCAAATTTACCGCCACTTAATGATCAACCAATAAAATACCTCTGTTTTGATGTGCTTTAAACATTGAAGCCAGTTCACAGAAGATATCAGAATCCGCATTGACAAGACCACTTTAGATTGTCTACAAAGTAAAAATAACACTAATCATTAAGTATACAGGGCATTTAGAAATTTGGAAGTTATATTTTAAGGACAATTCCACCCATTAAATTGAATCGTATGACGCAAGAAAAATAAAAAAATAGTAAAAGCTAACATTACTTGATAACATATTGAGAACCACTGCAGTCGAGAGGGAATGACACGTCGTATTGTTACATTACAGTAAGCGTTCGATCTTGCCAGCTGAGGTTGTAATCGCTATTTGGACGAGCATTGTAATGTGGTAATATTGGCGTATTTTGTCTACATTAGCCTTATATTAATAGAAGATTTACCAATTTGTGATTATTAAAATTAATAATTAGGTTACTCCACTATACCAGATTAATAAGTATCTACTAAAATATAAGACACTTATAAATGTGAAGAAACAAGGAATTTTTCCCTTTCAACTCTTGGTGCTCAAGGACGTACTCTGAGGGATCTTTTTCAATGCCATTCAGGTTCTAAAAATTCCACGAGAAAACTAAAACTTTGTTTCCCCTGTAGATTCTACTGAATAAACAAATGAAAGAAAATATGTGGGTGTGGGACATGCCCATTTGCGAATAAGAAGCCTAACATTATTATTTTCTCGGCGCAAGAAAACGGCTGGAGCCGGTCCTGTCTTAAAAACACTAAAAAGTACGGATTTTTGATAATCCCGAAATAAAAACAATTGTGCTATTTTTACAATACATTGGATAAGATATAGCTGCTATTGCACCACTTATTTTTCATGCAATCAATTAAAATCGCGCGTTGTTTATATTCGTAAAGCGATTCATATTTTAAAATTCAGATAAGGAAAGGTCGCGAGGTCAACAGCAAACGAGGTTGACATACCGCTGGCTTGTGTTTACTACGATCAGTCGACGCTGTTGCCCTGCTAGTTGAGATTCAGTATTACATTGAGAATCGCTAAAATGGCTTTAAATAAGGTGTGTGCGCTTTGCTTACGCGGATTTAAGGGTGAATTTGGATCATTGAGTGTGATTTCGAGAGGAAGTCATTTTACGTATACTCCCGACACCGATGTACCAAGCAAAGGTGGGTACACAACCAAGAAATAATATTTTTCGAATAAATTCACCTATACTCCGCGGTCGAAATTATAGAGAGTGATTCAGACATAATAAAAAAACACTATTACCATAATGCGTATAAAATATAAAATGATTTTTATACGGTTCAATATTATTTATCTTTGTGCCGCTCGCTACGCACATCGATAGAATCTATAATTGTCTATAGACTGAGTTACACTGAACGTCGATCTATACTCTATCTCTGTCTTTTGCATTTGGTAGGGAATAGGGAAATGCTTTTTTAGTGGGTGTAAACGGACTTGATTTACCAGTCCTGAGAAACGTCATAGTATAAGCGTAGACGAGGGGTCTAATTCCATGGCTATAATAAATTTATAAATTAAAAAAACACAACTGGGACGTTTTAAAATGCTGTAATAATTAAAATGGATCTAAATGCCGATTATAGCAAACCGTAGAAAATATTAAACGTTATGTTTTATTATCTTTTTTCAATATTTTCTATATCTTGTTGCCTTTTACGCAGACACGCCAATGGATTTTCGTTCCCGGCACGCTTCATCCCCCTTACTAGCACAATAGCTAGCGATGAGTCAATCTCTACAATTTCGACCGCGGAGTATAATAGTAGTTAGAAAGTAAAAATTTAAATTATATTTGAAAGAAGAACTGTTTTTTTACGTCACTTACTCGCAATATAATTCAAATCTACTTAAAATGTAATGTTACTGTTATATATGTGCATATGGATATGTAAAATCAATTTTATCAAAAAATAACGTAATATTAACTTACGTATTCCACTTACTATCTGTATTAAATATTATTTCGTGGTATTACGTTATATTATTACTAAATAAATACAGTACTACTATCTTAATATGTTTGTAACAATATTTTTTTTATCTCCAAATCCTTGAGAACAATTATCTCGAAGCATTCTTACAAAACAGATTCGTAATTCGTACTTATTCAAATATGTACGCTTAAATGACACAATCGTTAATATTTTTACCTTATAAAAATGACGTTAAAGTGAAACAAGTCTTCCAAATTTGTTTATACTATATTAAATGATTAAATTATCTATATTTTTAGGGGAGAAAGCAAAGATGAACATGTTCCAAGCCATAAACAACGCCCTGGACATAGCCCTAGCATCAGACAAAACCGCCATGATCTTCGGGGAAGACGTTGGTTTCGGTGGGGTCTTTCGGTGTACCTTAGGCCTCCAAAAGAAATACGGAAGGGAAAGGGTGTTCAATACCCCGCTAAGCGAACAGGGGATCGTAGGTTTTGGTATAGGAGTTGCTGCTGTGGGGTCAACAGCCATCGCGGAGATACAATTTGCAGATTATATTTTCCCTGCGTTCGATCAAGTAGGATTTGAGTAGTAAACTTTATATAAAGCGGTTAAATATGATAGAAAAGATAAACAATTCTCTGAATGATTCTTTTGAGATACAGTGCAATTTTGAGGATGAGTGATAGGCAACACACTATACAGCCGTGTATAGTTTTTGTTTAACACAGTTGTATCCACTGATCTTTATTAAATATGGATGGAGATGTATAAACAAACCTGTGTGTAAAAATTGTACGTCTTTAAAGCCTAATCAAAATCTACATATTTATTCTCGCAAATATAGAAAAAGATGTATAAAAATTGTATGCAGTCTGTATAAAAACTGTTTTTGAATATTTCCGTAGAAACATATACAGATGCATCTGCGTTTTTTGTTTGTTTTCCATTCAGGATGGACCGTCTAGGCATAAATAGACCCAGTTTCGAATCAGGGAACGTTAGTCTAAAAAAAATATAGTATTCCAGCATCATTTCCGTTCTCTCAAAAGATTTTCAGATTTTCAGAATTTTTTGTAGATTAGGATTAGACTTAACTTGTAATGACAGTCCATATTTTAATAGAAGTCAGTGATTATATGAATTGTCAGTGTTGCGAGAAACAACTACTCCGAGAGCTATATGCCCCTACCGGCATTGAATTATATTCGCAACACCTAGTGCAACAGCTAGGATCGTTTGTCATCAGTTTAACACACCATGCACAGACCGGTTACGGACTTATTAGTCCTCATCAGTGTGTCGTAGGTGCGACAACAGGCAAACGACCCAGCTGTTTTTCGTCGTATCGTCACGACAAGGAAATTTTTTTGTCGTGACGATACGACGAAGAATAGCTGGGTCGTTTGTCGGTTGTCGCACCTATGACGCACTGATGAGGACTAATAAGTCCGAAACCGGTTTGTGCTTGGTGGGTTAAACTGACTGACGACTGACAAACGATCATAGCTGTTGCACTAGGTGTTGAGTATAATTCAATGCCGGTAGAGGCTCTCGGAGTAGTTGTTTCTCGCAACACTGACAATTCAAACATTATGTTACGCCCTTTGTAGGTGGCAGTCGTGCAACAAAGTACCTGCAGTTAGCAGGTCGCTTCCTACTGTAGCCATTTGAATGGCACAGTTGGGAGTCCGCACGACAGATGGAGCCATTTGCGCTCCCGCGTTCAGTGATTATATCTCTAATTATTTTTATTATACATATGTTTAGCTTTTTTAATCCTCTTGTCTAAATTTATTATCTTCTCTTTCAGATAGTAAACGAGGCGGCCAAATATAGATACAGAAGTGGAGGCGAGTTCGATTGTGGCAAATTAACCATAAGAGCCCCATGCAGTGCTGTTGGGCATGGTGCTTTGTACCATTCACAAAGTCCGGAGGCATATTTTGCTCATACGCCTGGTATTAAGGTAAATATGGGATGAACATTAAATGTATGCATTTTAATGGAAATTATAAATCACAATGTAAATTAAGTCCGGCGGTTTGATCGATTGGTTATCATAGTTGTGTCGATTTGTTATTTTCACGGACGGCGTTTTCCTTTAAGTGCCTTCAAGTGTGTTTAAGCAATATTTTTAGTGTATATTTTAGTCCAAGGCAGAGATATTATTTTGATCCAGTTACCAAATGAATTACTTTTGAAGTGACGCAATTATTTCAAGTTTGAATTGAAAAGTACTTACTTTGACCTTAGGAAACTGTGGTAGCTATACCGGAATATTGAGACGCACTGTATTATAGTCTATTAAGTCTATTAACTTTTGTAATACATCCACCCACTAGTTTTCAGGTAGTTGTACCTAGAGGTCCGATCAAGGCCAAAGGATTATTACTAAGTTGTATTAGAGACCCAGATCCTTGTATAATACTCGAGCCTAAAGCTTTGTATAGAGCAGCAGTAGAAGAAGTCCCAGAAGAAGACTACCAGTTGCCCATTGGCAGAGCGGATATTATTTTAAAAGGTAGGGGTTGTAAAAGTGACGCAAGCGGCATAACTATACAATAAGCGTAAGTATTTGTAGTTGTAAGTCCCTAGACTGATATGAGGACATTTTTATTGAAGTTGACGAAAAGACGTATACAATTTGAAATCTCATATACTTTTTGCTGTCGAAGTAAGTTAATTACAGATAACAAATTGCGTAGAAAAACTCTGGCAAACCTAATAGACAAATCAACGCGTCGCATTGGACCATTCGTTAAATATTAAGACCCTAGCAAGAAGGTCTACATCGCCGCTAAATGAAATTATCCCAAAAGGGCGAGGAGTATTTCAGGGGACTTGTAAACTAGTTTGTCTTAACTTGATATCTATTGCTTTATTCTTGCTTAGATTGGTCGAATTGGTAGAGAGATCCTCAGAGAATAATGTCGTGTCTAGAAGAAAATAATTTATTGTATAGGCTGTTTATTAAATAAACCAAATATTACACAAGAATTGTCCAATAAACAATCAAAAGATACGATAATTAACAATCACTTTTTAATTCACTGGCAACTAGAAATTAATGACAATATTTTAACAACGTTGTATATTCCAGATCTGAAATAGTAAGCATAAATAGTAACTTATTTTTAACATGTGACTACAGCTTAGTGTTTCTTTAATGGCAATTAGGTCATTTGCGACTAGCTTGATTGTTGTCACATTTTTAACAACACTTATTGGAATATCTAAAATCTGAAAACAATAACACATCTAGCCCACTTGTACACATATGACACGCAGTAACACGCCTCAGCTGGAAACAGAAACAGGATGGGATTATAAGACGTCAAACCATGCAACGTAAACATCACTTTTTTTTTGTAGATGAAATACATATACAGGGTGGCCAAACTAAAACGAAACAGAGCCATTTTCAGGAACTGCGTCAAGAGTGTAGAAAAACGCTCAGACCCGTCGATTTTAGATTAAAGGAGGACAGTCTTTGCTAGTATTTTTGACTCCGCCACTTTCACCCCCAAGCAAGGGTAAGAATCACCCCAAAATATTTAAACGGCATTGGGGGTTGAGTAATATTTCTTTTGGAAGCTCTTACAATTCTCTTTACAACAGACTTTAAATTTTATAATTCCGCCCAATACTTATTAAGAATTTTGAAGTTGAAACTTATGTACAAACAATTAGTAACGGTAAAAATGTCAGTCATTCGAGTTAACTACGCCAATGGCATAAATTTAGTATTTCTTGCATTACATTGGTTTTGGCGATTTGTTATCACTTTCGTAAAAAAAAACACAATTGTAAAAATCAGAAATGAATGCTATACACACACAATGAACGTAAAATTAGTGGATTCCAAATTATTTTCTAGTATTATTTGGAAGCGGTGGTTGATAGTTTATTTAATTGCGTTTTTGAAAATTAAACACTATGGTTTATTCCATTGCGGAAAGGGTAGATATCATTTCGCTTTACTTTATAAATGTGCGAATAGAACAGCTCAGCTATTTAATAAACAACATCAAGATCGACATGTCAGGAGGAAGTATGTTCTAGATTTAGTAAAAAAATTTCAAGAGACAGGGAACGTAGCCAATAAAAAACGAGAAATTGCGAAACCTATAGTTAATGAAGCTAGTGAAGTTACAGTTTTGGGACAAGTTCATCTTGATCCTACATTAACTACGAGGCAGCTGGCATCTGTGTCTGGGATCAATCGAACTAGCATACAAACCATTTTGAAGAAGAACAAATTCCATATATTACAAAATACATTTAGTCCAGAACTTCATGAGGATGATTATGACCGCCGTTTGCAATTTTGCGAAATAATGAGTGAGCGAGCAGGGAACTATCCACAGTTCCTTTTTAACATCTATTTTTCTGATGAATGCAGTTTTTTCTTGAACGGGACGGTAAATCATCACAATTGCCGCTGTTGGTCCGATTCAAACCCAAGAGTTTTTCACGAGGTGCATACACAGCAACCGGAAAAATTAAATGTATGGGCTGGAATTTTCGGTGACCGGCTGGTGGGTCCTTTTTTTCTACCTGGAAATTTGACTGGCCAAATGTATTTACAATTACTGGAAGACGCTATTGACCATGCCTTGACTGATATTATAGATGAGTATGATGAAGATCATTTGATTTTTCAACAGGACGCACGGTGCTCCTCCGCATTATGCGTTAATTGTCCGTCAATATTTGGACCAACGTTTTCTACGGAATTGGATTGGGAGAAGAGGCAGCATTTAGTGGCCTCCACGATCCCCGGATTTATCGCCCCTTAATTTCTTTTTGTGGGGATACCTAAAAAGTAAAATCTATAAAACACAGCCAGCGTCGCTGGAAGCTTTGCGTCAAAGAATCGTCGACGAATGCCGTCGAATCACTCCGGAAATGCTTCGGAATGTGCGCGAACGTTTCGAACAAAATCTTTATTCTTGTATGGAAGCGGGCGGTCATCAGTAAGTAAGCAACTAAACATAATTTAAATTTTTAAATGTAAATTTTTTTCAAAGTATTGGGCGGAATTATAAAATTTAAAGTCTGTTGTAAAGAGAAAGCTTTGAAAAGAAATATTACTCAACCACCAATGCCATTTAAATATTTTGGGGTTATGTTTACCCTTGCTTGGGGGTGAAAGTGGCGGAGTCAAAAATACCAGCAAAGAATGTCCCCCTTTAATCTAAAATCGACGGGTCTGGGCGTTTTTCTACAAACTTGACGCAGTTCCTGAAAATGGCTCTGATTCGTTTTCATTTGGCCACCCTGTATAGAAATCAGTATTTCTTTCACAAGTACATATAACCCGTTATTCAAAAAATAAGGTGAATTTGTTTAAAAAATAAAAAATCTTTATTTATGCTTCCAAATCAATTTTGTCGCCTTCAATCCCCACTCGATACAATGAACTTATCCAATGTTTTTTCCAACTCCCGAAACAGTCTGAAAAGTCCTTTTTTGCCTTTGCCTTCAATGCTTTCGTCGATTCGGTTATTATTTCCTCGATCGAGTCGACACGGTGTCCACAGAGTGGTCTTTGAGTTTAGGAAATGGCCAGAAGTTACTCAGTGCTAAATCAGGCAAATACTGTGGTTGCGGAACGATATGAGTTGAATTTTTGGAGAAATGGCCTCGAACTATCAATGTGTGAACCGGTGCATTATCATGATGCAAAAACCAAGAGGTGCCTGTCCATAATTCCGGCCTTTTGCGGCGAATATCATCACGTAATCGACGCGTAACACTCAAATAATATATCTTGTTAACAGTTTGGCCGGTTGGAAGAAATTTATAATGCACTAGGCCACGGTAATCAAAGAAAACTGTCAACATGGATCTCTGGATCATCCACTTATTTATTTATTTTGCGCGCCTGTGTAATTTTTAAATATTTGTCTGTAACAATAGCTTACCACGCGTCTCCTTCCAGGCTCGGATGTGACTCTCATAGGATGGGGCACCCAAGTCCACGTGTTGAAAGAGGTGGCCCAGTTAGCGAAGAGCCAGCTGAAGGTATCCTGCGAAGTGATAGACCTTGTCTCCATTCTGCCCTGGGACATGGAGACGGTGTTTAAGGTAGGTGAAGAACTGATACTGATCCGTCGACTACTTATTATTAACGACCGGCCTTGTGTTTGTTTATTGCCTTAAAACATTTCAGGGTGATCCATACGTTTATTTTTCATCGGTCTAGTACCGTAATTGTTAATGAATTATTGATATGAACGTGTTTTTTAGTCGGTGAAGAAAACTAAGCGGGTCCTTGTTTCGCATGAGGCTCCTTTGACTGGAGGATTTGGAGCAGAATTGTCAGCTAGCATTCAGGTAGTCAGTCTTTTTTAAATTTTGTAATGTAATTTTGCAAAAAGTTGTTGATAAAATTTATCAATTCTTTAACCATCTCATGTCAGTTCATTTCACAATGTTTTGAAACAAACTATAAGAGCCTCTGTCTCATTAAATTTTCTTCGTATGTAAATATAAGTAAAAAACATTTTTTGCTACCAATAATTGCTGTGAAAGAAAATTATACTTTCAAAGATTATAATCATTACTACTGGCACATATTTGCAAAAGGTTTAATTTCATTTACAAACTAGCGAATTTGCTTTACAAAAGCTGGAATTTCACTTTCAAAATGTTGAATTTTGTTTGCAAAAAGTTGAATTTGTTTTTAAACTGTTGAATTTAATTTACAAAAGTTGTATTTGATTTATAGACGTGTGGATTTGACGGATTTGACTTGAATTTGATTTTCCATATGTTGAATTTTGTTTGCAAAATGTTGAATTTGTTTTTAAAATATTGAATTTGATTTGCAAAAGACTGAATTTGATTTTCAAAAGATTGAATTTTGGCTGAATTTGATTTGCAAAAGGTTAAATTTCATTTAAAAACTAGTGAATTTGATTAGCAAATGTTTGGATTTCATTTTCAAAATGTTAAATTTTGGTTGCAAAAACTTGAATTTGTTTTTAAAAAGTTGAATTTATTTGCAAAAGTTGTTGATTTACAGGCGGGTGAATATGATTTTCAAAATGTTGAATTTGGTTTTGAAAGGTTGAATTTAATTTGCAAAAGTTGTATTTGATTTAAAGGTTGAATTTGATTTTCAATATGTTGAATTATGTTTGCAAAAAGTTGAATTTGTTTTTAAAATGTTGAATTTGATTTGCAAAAGTTTGAATTTGATTTTTAAAAGATTGAATTTTGTTTGGAAAAAGGTTAAATTTGTTTTTAAGTTGAATTTGATTTGCAAAAGGTTGAATTTCATTTACAAACTAGTGGATTTGATTTACAAACGATTGCATTTCATTTTCAAAATGTTAAATCTTGTTTGCAAAAACTTGAATTTGGTTTTAAAATGTTGAATTTATTTGCAAAAGTTGTATTTGATTTAGAGGTGGGTGAATTTGATTTTCAAAATGTTGAATTTTGTAAAAAGTTGAATTTGGTTTTAAAAGGTTCAATACAATTTGCAAAAGTTGTATTTGATTTACAGACGGGTGAATTTGATTTGTAAAAGCTTGAATTTGATTTTAAATGTGTTGAATTTTGTTTGCAAAAAGTTGAATTTGCTTTTAAAATGTTGATTTGCAAAAGATTGAATTTGATTTTCAAACGATTAAATTTTGTTTGCAGAAGATTGAATTTTTTTTAAAGTTGAATTGGATTTGCAATAGGTTGAATTTCATTTGCAGATTAGGGAATTTGATTTGCATTAGCTTGAATTTGAATTTCAAAATGTTGAATTTTGTGTGCAAAATGTTGAATTTTGTTTGCAATAAGTTGAATTTCATTTTCAAACTGTTGAATTTTGTTTGTAAAATGTTGAATTTTGTATGCAAAATGTTGAATTTGTTTTTAAAATGTTGAATTTGATTTGCAAAAGTTTGAATTTGATTTTCAAAAGATTGAATTTTGTTTGCAAAAGATTGAATTTGTTTTTAAGAAGTTGAATTTGATTTGCAAAAGGTTGAATTTCACTTACAAACTAGTGAATTTGATTTACAAAAGCTTGCATTTCATTTTTAAAATATTAAATTTTGTTTGCAAAAACTTGAATTTGGTTTTAAAAAGTTGAATTTATTTGCAAAAGTTGTATTTGATTTACAGATGGCTGAGTTTTATTTGCAAAAGATTGAATTTGATTTGCAAAAGGTTGAAATTTTCGAAAAGTTGAGCTTCTTTTACAAACAAGTGAATTTGATTTGTAAAAGCTTGAATTTGATTTACAAAATATTGAATTTTGTTTAAAAATTGAATTTGAGAATCAAAACATGTACGAAAGATACACTCTATTTCCCTTTCTATTATTAAACTATATCACCGTAATTCTAAGAAAAAACATATGTAGGGTGTTCCCTCTAAAAAATCATAAGTTAGGTCACACTTGTATAACGTGATTTTCATATGTTTTTGTACTAATTACGGCGAAACACTCTATATATTTTCTTATATATGCTAAAAAATACATGTTAAAGCTTCTATAACATTCACGATTATTAAACGTAGCGTTGAAGTAGATGGAGCTATGTATACATTTTGATTGAAAAAAACTGAATATCTCTGATTTAAAAAAGTTCTAACTGTCTGTCTATTGCAGGAGGAATGTTTCCTACATCTTGAGGCCCCCGTAGCCCGAGTCACGGGCCACGACACGCCGTTTCCCCACGTTTTCGAGCCCTTCTACTTGCCGGACAAGTGGCGTTGTCTGGCGGCAGTCCGCAATCTGATAAATTATTAAATAACATTCTTTACGGTGACTCACTCGTGTTTTCTTTACCTTTTCCTTCCGGAAAGATAACGAATGCGAGAAAAACAGGAAAACAAAAGAAAAACTAATTCAGCGGGAGTTATCTCAAAAGATACTAGAATGGAAAAACCGGCTGACGGTTTTCAAGCTTGATTTTCATTTGTTTTCCATAGTTTTTTAAATAAGAACAGTTGGTTGTGATCTAGACAGACATATTTTTTTTTTGTTTTACATCGAGGTGGTCTGTAATTACATGTCACAAAGCATACGTATGTTGCAAAGCAATGGCCATAAACTTGGAAAATTCTGAAGATTTTTCTTTTAGTTGAGCGTATTTAAGGGAATACGGCCCTACAAAGTTCAAAAATAATTTTTTTAATTTTCTGACATTCCGAAAGGAAAAAGCAAGAACTTTAGACTTTCGAATTCAGCTAATATACAATTTCTGTTTCGATAAAGCCGAGGGGAAGGTTTTTTACTTGGGTTTATAACGAAAACTTCTTAAAAAATGCAAATTCGTCATCAAACAAACTTTTTCACCACCTACTCCCAAAACAAAAGTTCTAACTGTCTCCATTGCCACCCCCGCAATCTTGGAATGCCCGGACCACTTCTGTTCGACGCAGAAAGATCCAACCTACACAAGGACACCAAAATCCCTCCGATCGAACCACTCGAAGATTTGTTACACTTTGAAAATTTATACTCACTTATACACATATTTTCCCAACATTACCGATTCTTTAAATATTTCCAATGTTTGCCTGTAACTTATTGTTGTTGAGATATTCAAAACCTACTAATTAATTTGTGCATAATGTCTTCCTTTTTACTCCAAAGGTATCGAAAAGACTACAGATTTCGCAAAAAACGTACAAGGTGATTAAAATATATATATATAAATAAATATACTATGCCATCATATAAAATACAGTCTGTAGATATATGCTTATATGTTTACTACTCCTATTTACAATTAATTTATTTTTTATAAACATTTTTATGCAAAAACGCATTTTTTTTTGGTTTTTGCTTATAAAACCTAAACAAATGAAGCAACCTGAATGCTATAAAGAGATAATTTGTAGAGAATCGAAATACGAATAAAACGAGAGCTCGATCGATCCGGTCGGATAATTAGAAACGAAGAAAACTCGGAAAAATCGAGAATTTAGCGTTTTTTTTAAATTTATTACTGCGACATTTTTTAATTTGTAGAGCTGGCCCTGTGCACAAAAGTAGTGAGTTACAATGTAGGTACTTTAAGTGTGCACAAAGCAGGCGCTGTCGGACCATTAGTTTTGGCACAATTGCAATTTGAATTTTTCGGTGCACTATTTTGTAAAATTTCTGGATGCATTGGAGGTGGTACGATTTTAATTTTTCAGCCGGATTTTAAAAGTAGAAGTATAACACTACAAAACGTATATTCTAAATTTTCCTATAAAATGATGCGAAATAGGTGAAAAATTTCGCCAAACATGCTTCAAAACGGCCGAGCGCGCGTACGCCGTCGAATAGTGGGGGAAGATCGGGAGATGAGGGGCAGTGGATATATAGGTATACAATTTTGAATATTGTTAGTTATAGTACAGTTTTTATTGTAAATTCGTTCATAAACAACTTACAAAATGTACACTAAAAATATTTCACTCAAATTTCACTCAATTTCACTCAATAATGTATCAATTTCTCTAATTCACACCCGATTGGGTGAAATTTTCACTCTATTAGTATGAGTACAACTGAGTGAAACTATTGCAGCAGAAATGAATGAGTTTTACTCAAATCCTAGTTACTGCTAACTATCAATTGAGCGATTTTGACTCTATTTTGAGGATATAAAACCAATTTAGAGTTGATTTTTTCTCTAATTTGAGTTAAATTTAACTACTATTGAGTCATTTTGACTCAGACTTGGTTTTTAATTAATTAAATATTGAGTGCAAAAAGAAATCACTCATAAATGATTAATTAGGAATACACTATACAGTGATGAAATTAATTCACTTCGCGGGGCTTCCTTCTGTCCTGGCTAAGACCCGCCAGCTGAGACCCGCTACTGCCGGCTAAGGCCTGTTCTCCTGGCGATCATGCTTTTCTGGAGCATCTAACGGGCCCCTATCAACTGTGGTCGAGGTATATTCTTTATTTAAAATCCGTAAATCATGTGAACTGGTAAATTAACGAGAATTATGTTAATTTAGTTCTAAAGAAATGATATGATACTCGCGCCCATCTCTCGTCCAAGTCAAAGAAAATGTTGGATGCAATTTAGAAGGTTCTGTCATAGAAATTATATTATTACTCACTGTACGTGTTTTTCATCTCTATTTTAGTAGTGTTACAAAAGTTTTGCAACTATAACTAATTTTTTAGACATAAAGTTTGCTGAGAAATATTTAAGTTCCTTTGTTATTCCGTACAAATGCTTTTATCTCAAGTATTACTAATTATATTAATCAAGTAAAGAAAACTTTATGTAACCCTAAATATTGCTGGGTAATGATTACGATGTTTTTATAAACCATTAAATATATTAAAAGGATTTATCAACTGTATTTTTTATTCCAATAAATATATCATCACAGCTTCCTAGAATTTTTAAATTAATTTAGTTTTTTAAAAACATTACAAAAAATAATCTGTTGAGGATAATTTACTGTTGATAACAATGTACATGGGATTTAGGAAAAATGTATATGATTGAAATCAATTTCGTTTTTATCAAGTCTTTCAAATGTATTCCCTCCTTGCTGTCAGCTGATTGCGACGTTGCCACATTAATCCTCAAGTCAGACAGAAATGCAATTATTAGTTTCTGTTTCCAATTAATACAGCTGTACTATGGTCAAAACTTACATTAGTTTTACATTAAAAATAAGATAATACTGTGTACTATCTATGGAAAAGATTTGTTTTACAATTTCTACATTTTTTTCTCAGTTATGGGCGAAAAAAGAGCCGCACCGTCCATCTTCGCCATATAAACCTATGTTAAAATGAACAACTTTCATCAATATCTCAAAATCTAGATTAAAAAAAAAAATAAAAAAAATACGATGCACAGAGGGAGCACTGGCTAACACGCTATATTTTCAAGTGCATCTGTGCATTTGAGTAAACCCGATAAACCTCCTTAAAACGAACAGAAACGTACATTTTGTAAGAAAATTTTCAAATTCACGTTTGATGTCAAGATTTCATGTAAATGTCAAAAAATGCAGGAACAAATTAAGGAATGTTCACAGGTCTCACGTCAGTGTGATTCCGTGCATTCTTACCACTCTGTCACTGTGCGCGTTTAAGTTCGATGTAAAATGCAGCTGCTTCTGGTTGTTAACATAGTCCGTCTGTTACTAGTATTTTTGTCACAAAATTATTAATTTAATGCTCTATTGATTTGCTCTGCGACTACCTTGCGATAACGCGATTGGTTATTTTCAAATATAGGAAATACAGAGCGTTATTTCGAAAATAGAGCTCTAAAACTTGCCGTCCTTAATTCCTGACATATCTTGAAATTGAAATTCCATCGAATTCGACTCACTCTGTACGTCTTGTGCATTTTTTATATATTGTCATAAAAATTAGGTAATAGTGAATGTTACGACTGGCGGAAGAGCTCCATTAAAGAAGGTGATCGGTCATAACAACACTCTCTCGACATTTCGAGATACTAAACAGAAAAGAAAAGTACTTTCACTAAGAATTGGTTATTATTTATGCAATGTATTTTTTAACGTCTATATTATGTTATTAATCACATAATTAATTATTTTCGAAGACTGAATCAAATTGTATTAGTCGAAAGATTAGTTAAGACATATATTTTTTAAATTTTTAATGACAGTCTGTTCCTGGCTGGGAAATCCAAAGCACTGCACTATATTTTTGTTTTTTCCCCTTAAAACGATACTCTTCACCTATGTATGACTTTTATACAGGGTGGCTAGATGAAAACGAAACAAAGCTATTTTCAGGAACTGCGTCAAGATTGTAGAAAAACGCTCGGACCCATCAATTTTAGATTAAAGGGGGACATTCTTTGTTGGTATTTTTGACTCCGCCACTTTCACCCCCCAAGCAAGGGTAAGCATCTCCCCAAAATATATAAATGGCATTGGGGATTGAGCAATATTTCTTTTGGAAGCTCTTACAATTCTCTTTACAACAGACTTTAAATTTTATAATTCCGCCCAATACTTTGAAACAAATTTACATTTTAAAATTTAAATTATATTTAGTTGCTTACTTATTACTTAGTTGATTAAATGTTCAAACTGATGACCGCCCGCTTCCATACAAGAATAAAGATTTTGTTCGAAACGTTCGCGCACATTCCGAAGCATTTCAGGAATGATTCGACGGCATTCGTCGACGATTCCTTGACGCAAATCTTCCAGCGACGCTGGCTGTGTTTTATAGATTTTACTTTTTAAGTATCCCCACAAAAAGAAATCAAGGGGCCATAAATCCGGTGATCGTGGAGGCCACTAAATGCTGCCTCTTCTCCCAATCCAATTCCGTTGAAAACGTTGGTTCAAATACTGTCGGACAATTAACGCATAATGCGGAGGAGCACCGTCCTGTTGAAAAATTAAATGATCTTCATCATACTCTGGAACATTTTCAATAATATCAGTCAAAGCCGGGTCAACAGCGTTTTTCAGTAATTGCAAATACATTTGGCCAGTCAAATTACCAGGTAGAAAAAAAGGACCCACTAGCCAGTCAACGAAAATTCCAGTCCATACATTTAATTTTTTCGTTTGCTGTGTATGCACCTCGTGAAAAACTCTTGGGTTTGAATCGGACCAATAGGGGCAATTGTGACGATTTACCGTCCCGTTAAAAAAAACTGCATTCATCAGAAAAATAGATGTTAAAATGGAACTGTGGATCGTACCCTGCTCGCTCACACATTATTTCGCAAAATTGCAAACGGCGGCCATAATCATCCTCATGAAGTCTCTGGATTAAATGTATTTTGTATGGATGGAATTTATT